CAGACCATGCGGCCCACCAACCACGCCACCGTCCAGTCCATCATCCACGCCCTGAAGCTCAGCCCGGAGGTGCAGACGCCCTGCTGCGTCCCGGACAATCTCTTCTCCATCAACCTGCTCTACTTTGATGATGACGACACGGTGGTCCTCAAGCAGTACGACGGCATGGGGGCGGGCAGCTGCGGCTGCCACTGAGCCCCCGGGCACTGTGTGTGTGTGTGTGTGTGTGTGTGTCTGTGTGTGTGTCTGGCACGGTGATCCTCCCCCCCCTTCCACATCCAAACCCTGACCTTAGTCCCGGAGAGCTTTCCTGGGGGGCTTCTTAAGGGGGGAGGATAGCAACAGCCAGGATCTTTTCTCCCTAAACCAGAAGGGTCCAATTTTGCAACTTTTAAAACTGCTGGATTTCATCTCCCAGAATTCCCAGTCAGCTCTGCTGCTCCTGGAGAGCTTTCCTGGGGAACATTTTAAGCGGGGGGGGGGGGGACACCAACAGCCAGGGGCTTTCCTCTCTAAAGCAAAAGTGTCCAACTTTGCAACTCTAGGACCGGTGGGCTTCAGCTCCCAGAATTCCCCAGCCAGCAGAATTCTGGGAGTTGAAGTCCACCGGTCTTAAAGTTGCCAAGCTTGGACACCCCTATCCTAAATGGACAGTCCTGCAGTACCACAAATTGCCTTCAGAAGTTGTGGGAGCTTCTTCACTAGGGGCCTTCAAGAATAGACTGGACTACCCTCTGTCAGAAATGGTGTGGTAGGGTCTCCTAGGGCGGTGGGTGGGTTGGACTAGATGACCTACAAGGTCCCTTCCTTCTCTTCTCTTCTCTTCTCTTTCCTCTCCTCTCCTGTCCTCTCTTCTTTATTTTGTTCTATTCTTATTCTATTCCTGCATTGTGATGGGTTTTGGAACTGTTTCAGCCACTGTGACCTGAGTTCAATTCCTTCCCCTGGATTCCTACAAAGTGGACCTCTTGGGTTGAGGAGGGGGGGGGGTGTCTTGCTTTGATTAGCTGACTCCATGCAAAGAAGGCAGCCTGGACTCTCTCTGCCCACCCCACCCCCCCCATTGCTGGAAGAAGAAAAGATAGCGACAGAGGAGAGCAGACAAAGCTTATTGAACCCGTGGAACTGACTGCCACAAGAAAGTGCCCTGCCAGCTTTAAAACGATTGAAAGGGGTGTGTGTGGCACATTATTGGAAGAGCAAGGTTAGCTAGCACCAGCGCCGATTGAAAAAGGAAATATATTGAGGGTTCGTTGTGGCTAAGGGTCGTAGTAAACAAGTCGAGCCTCCTTGTTCCTCAGCAGTCTACCCCCAAAGAGCAATGGCTGGGACCAAACAGGGAAGTCTTCCAACTTCCCCGTCTTGCCTGGTGTCTCCTCAGACTGGAAGATGCTGCTCTGGACACCCATGTCCCTGGGAAGAAAATTTGCAGTGTGTTCAAATTGCGCCCAACTCCAGCCAACTGTGGCCCAGGGCACCGCTGCAGAATGTACCATACTGTAGATAGTCGAACTGTTTTAATTTATATAAATATATGTATATATATATAAAAATGTGTGTGTGTATGTATATAGGACAAACTTCCTGGGCACGGAGACTTGTGAATATTTGTTTTTATGTTTATGATGATTTTGCCAAGGGAGCACTGTCTCCACATTAAACGCAAACAGCTTCCAAGCTTCTGGTCCTGTTGCTTCTTTTACTGACAAGAGGGGGGGCAGCTTGGGAGGGGGGCCAGAAGGAGCAGCCAGGGGCAAGTCTGCCTGCCAACGGGCCAGGCAGAATGGGCAAAAAAAAACCCCAACCCATTATTTTGAGCCTGGTGCACAAAGTTTTGTGACTGCGTCTTGCCTGCAACCTTGCTCCCACTGGCAAAGAAGTGGGGTAGTCCTAAAGGAGCCTCTGTGTTTTTGAGTTTGTTTGTGTGTGTGTGTATCTTCCTTGTCCTTGCAGCCTTACACTGAAGATTGCATCTGGGCATGGAAAGAAGAACAGCTGGGGGTGGATAATTTATCTTCCGCTCACCTGGCATCAGGCATCCCTAGCAAACTCCAAATGGGAAGAGCGGGTGGACAGAGGGATGGGGGTGGGCTGGAAGAAATGGGGCATTCAATAAATGGGTTCTTCACACACCCCCTCCCAATTCCTGTGCTCTGCCGTTGCCAACATTGGGGGGGCAGGGGCTGTGGGGAGGGGGGTCTTGCTCCCAGGAGGAACCCTTCCACTGGGGAAGGCGGGTGTCCGGGGCAGAGGGCAGGACTGTCCCCGGGGCCCATCTGCCTTCTGGGCCAGGGGAGCCCAGTTTTTCCTAGATTTTTCCCGTTGGGGAGGTCACTGGCAAAAACTAATTCGGCTGACCTGTGGCGGGGCTTCTTTGGACTGCGTCATTACCATAAGGGAGTTGGTTGGTGTGTTTCTTCTGTTTGTGTGCCTGCCCGTCTCAAAAGGAGGGGTTTTGCAAAATTGGCTGGTATTTTTTCAACTTGTGAAGATGGGTGGACTTCAACTCCCAGAATTCTGCAGCCAGCAAAGCTAATGGGTTAAATTGAGGGAGGGTCTCCAGTGTATTAATCTGTGGCAAGTAGAAAATGCCATTAAGGGAGATGGAAAAATACTATAAACAACATTTTAATTAACAGAGGTGATGTTTAGCAAGCATTAACTAATATCATAAAATGGCTGAATTGTGATGACCTGTGTGCAATTCTATGAAGAAACATTTTTACGAGAGGTGCCAACCGAAAGTCACAAATGGTGTAAGATATTGCACGTGTAGGGAAGTGTGGTTTCCCACACATTGTATGTTGTTGTTAATTGCGAAGTCGTGTCTGACCCATCGTGACCCCATGGACAACGTTCCTCCAGGTCTTCCTGTCCTCTACCATCTTCTGGAGTCCATTTAAGTTCACACCTCCTGCTTCAGTGACTCCATCCAGCCATCTCATTCTCTGTCGTCCCCTTCTTCTCTTGCCCTCCATCTTTCCCAGCATTAGGCCCTTCTCCAGCGAGTCCTTCCTTCTCATTAGGTGGCCAAAGTATTTGAGTTTCAACTTCCGGATCTGGCCTTCTAAAGAGCAGTCGGGGTTGATCTCTTCTAGGACTGACCGGTTTGAACGCCTTGCAGTCCAAGGGACTCACAGGAGTCTTCTCCAGCACCAGAGTTCAAAGGCCTCCATTCTTTTGCGCTCAGCCTTTCTTATGGTCCAACTTTCACAGCCACACATTGCAACTGGGAAAACCATGGCCTGGACACATTGTATAAACTTCCCTTTTTCCTGCGTGTGTGGTCTCAGGACATGAAGTTCTCTCTCTTAGTGGGTTAAAGGTAGATAAGAAGTCATCCATTAGGTTAAGCTTGGGCGGCAAGCTGTATAAAAATGACATCCCAGGAGTAACTCGGGGTTCAGAATTTGTCATATGAATACTCTGAACCTTTGCGCAAATAAATCCTGTTTTCTCCAACCCTTCGTGGTCGGGTCTTCTGATGTAAGTATCGTGGTTTTTCCACTACAAATCAATATTTTTCTACCTTGGGAACGTGAAGATGGGTGGACTTCAACTCCCAGAATTCCCCAGCCAGCAAAGCTGGCTGGGGAATTCTGGGAATTGAAGTCCACCCATCTTCACGGTCCCCAAGTTGAAAAAGCACCAGTGTACACCCTTTTTCTTCCCGTGGGCATCCCAGGCCAAAGAAATTCTCCCCCAAGATTGTCCACGCCTGCCACAAACCCAGTTTTTGTCAGGCTAGGACCAGGAGTTGGGGAGATCTAGTCCTGCCTTCGACACGAAAGCCAACTGGGTGACTTTGGGCTAAGCCCTCTCCAGCCCAACCCACCTCACAGGGTTGTAGTGGAGAAAGAAGGAGGAAGGAAGATTAGATACGTTCATTGCGTTGTTTATAAAAAAGGCGGGATAAAAAGGAAATCTAAAAATAAAGCCAGCCGGACGCGGTTCACCCGGTTTAGGAGAGGCAGGTTAAGAACAAGGACAAGCGGCTTCCGAGCCTCATTCGGGCATCGGTGGGGGGGCCTTGGCGGTGAATTCGGGCAGCCGATTCCCACGTTTGGCTTCAGAAGGCCAGTTTATAAGCTAAACGCGCTGTACACGGGGCTACCCTTGAAAAGTATTCGGAGACTACAGTTGGTCCAGAATGCAGCCGCGCGAGTGATAGTGGGTGCTCCTCGGTACACCCACGTTACACCTATCCTCCGTGAGCTGCATTGGTTGCCTATTGGTCTCCGGGTCCGATTCAAGGTGTTGGTTATTACCTTTAAAGCCCTATATGGCTCAGGGCCAGGCTATTTGCAAGACCGCCTACTACCTGATAGTTCCCTATGTCCGGTTAGATCCCACAGGCTGGGCCTCCTTCAGGCCCCGTCGTCGGCCAAGCAGTGCCATTTGGCGGGGCCGCGGCGGAGGGCCTTCTCTGTGATGGCGCCCACGTCTTGGAACCAGCTCCCCCCGGAGATTAGGACCGCTCCCACCCTGTTGGTTTTCCGCAAGCTGCTTAAGACCTGGCTTTTCCGGCAGGCCTGGGATTTATAAAATCTGACCCCGGGATGACTGTTATTGTACTGTTTGTTTTGTTACGTTATGTTGTGTTTTTATTGTTAACCGCCCGGAGTCCTGCGGGAGTGGGGCGGTCTATAAATTTTAATAAATAAATAAATAAATAAACTGTCCGGGATTAAACCGATGTTAGGCTCACAGGTAAGTTAACTGCAGGCAGCTCAGCTCTGGGCAGAGGGAAATGAGGAGGTGGGGGGGAACAGCCCCCTCTGCCTGCCCTCTCTGCCCCCTTGGCATCTGCAGGAAAAGGAGGGCAAGCTGGGGGAGGCAAGGCAAGGAGGCCTGGCGGCTGGCTGTCCCGGGTACGAGGGAGCTAAGCCTGGCAGGCCAGCCTGGCAGGGACGGACGCAGGAGTTATCCTGGGATGGAGGTGTGGCTGAGTTGGAGGTGGGGGGGGGAGGCAAGGAGCAAGGGGGGGGGGTGGCGAGTGGCTACTGGCCGGGGGGCTGGCCTGCCCGGTTGCTTTCGGGGCCCCAGCACCGGCCCAGCTTCTTCCGGAGCCTCTGCCTGAGGCCGTCCTGGCGGGGGGCCACCGTGGTCTTGTCCTCCTCGTGGGACTTGAGCTTGGCGTAGTAGTCGGAGAACCTGTTGTAGAGGATGGAGATGGGCATCCCGTTGACGATGATGCCGAAGGCGATGCAGCCGAAGGCCACCACCCGGCCCAGGAAGGTGTCCGGCACCGTGTCCCCGTAGCCCACGGTGGAGAGGCTCACCTGGAGGAGGAGGAGGAGGACAGGGAAAAGGAGGAAGACAGGAGGAGAGAGGACGGGGAGGGAGGAGGAGGAAGAAGAGGAAAAGAAGAGGAGAGAGGAGGGGGAGGGGAGGAAGGAGGAGGAAGAGGAGGAAAATAGGAGGAGGGGAGGAAGAGGAACAGGAAGAAGAGGAAAAAAATAGGAGGAGGAGATGGGGAAGAAGAGGAGAGAGGAGGGGGAGGGGAGGAAGGAGGAGAGAGAAGGGGAGGGAGGAGGAGGAGGGAGGAAGAGGAAGAAAAGGAGGAGGAGGGGGAGGAAGAGGAAGGGGAAAAAGAGGAGGAAAATAGGAGGAGGGGAGGAAGAGGAACAGGAAGAAGAGGAAAAAAATAGGAGGAGGAGATGGGGAAGAAGAGGAGAGAGGAGGGGGAGGGGAAGAAGGAGGAGGGGAGGGAGGAGGAGGAGGAGGGAGAAAGAGGAAGAAGAGGAGGAGAGAGGAGGGGGAGGAAGAGGAAGGGGAAAAAGAGGAGGAAAATAAGAAGAGGAAGAGAAGGGGAGGAGGAGGAAGAACAAGATGTCCTCCTGAGTTGAAGCAAACTCACTTGCAAGATGGAGCCAACTCTTAACGCCCAAAAGAGACCCCAACCGCAAAGACCGTCAGGGGGTCTGGGGGCGAAACCAGACGAAGGACACCTGAGGGAGCCAGGGGTGTCTAGGCCAGGGGTGGGGAACCTGGGCTCTTTGATGACTGGGGGACTTCAACTCCCAGAATTCCTCAGCCAGCATGGAACTGGAAGTCCACACGTCATCAAAGAGCCCAGGTTCCCCACCCCTGGCCTAGTCTGACACGGAGAGAGACCAGGGGAGACAAGAGAGCAGCCTTCCAATTCCTGAGGAATTCTGGGAGTTGAAGTCCACAAGTCATCAAAGAGCCAAGTTGGAAGATTCCCTGGTGTAGACCCACCGGCAGGCCTGTGGCCTTCAGGGCCAGCTCTCTCCAGTCACCATCTCCAAATCTCACCGCATGCCTTTCTTTTAGGGTATTTCTGCACCCCTTCTCCACTTGGGAGTAAGAAGACTGGAAGGAGAAGCTATTTTTGCCCGCATGGAGTCCTCTTCCGTCCCCCACAGCTGGCAAGCAGCACCCCCAGAGCCATATTCTGCTGTCCCTCCTCCAAGCCAGCCCTTCCACCGTCACTGCTTGGGCCATTTTGGGGGATTGGATCCCCAAGACCTATTAAATGTCATTCTTGGGTCTGACAGGGCTACTAACTCAAGAGGGGACCCTCAGCTACAAATTACAAGTACAGATTAGGCGAGACCCGGCTCAAAAACAGTAACCGTGAGAGGGACCTTGGAGTCCTAGTGGACGATCCCTTAAATGTGAGCCAGCTGTGTGCGGCAACGGCCCAAAAAGCGAACACAATCTTGGGTTGTATAAACAGAGGGACAGCATCAAAGTGATGTGAAGTCTTAGCACCGCTTTATAAAGCGTTAGTAAGGCTGCACCTGGAATACCTGCATCCAATTTTGGTCACCACACTGCAAAAAAGATGTTGAGACTTTGGAAAAAATGTAAAGAAGAGCAACTAAGGTGATTAAAGGCCTGGAGACAAAAATGTATGAAGAACGGTTGCGGGACTTGGGTATGTCCAATCTAAAGAAAGACTAGGGGGGACAGGATAGCAGTGTTCTAGTATTTGAGGGGCTGCCACAGAGAAGAGGGGGGTTCAACCTATTCTCCAAAGCACCCGAGGGCAGGACAAGAAACAATGGATGGAAACTAATCAAGGAGAGAAGCAACTTGGAATTAAGGAGAAACTTCCTAACAGGGAGGACAATTAACTGGTGGAATAGAAGTTGCCTTCAGAAGTTATGGGCGCTCTATCACTGGAAGTTCTCAAGAAGAGACTGGACAGCCATGTCTGAAATGATATAAGGCAGTGATGGCAAACCTTTTAGAGACCGAGTGCCCCAAAATCGCCCTGCCAGCACCCTGCCCTGCCACCATTCTGCCCTGCCCCCCACCCGCCTGGCCCACCACAGACTGCCCAGGCAGCCCAGCAGCGCCATGGCAGCCAAGCCCTCTGCCCGCGCCCTGCAGCATCATCTGCGTGCAACAGGGCACAAGGGTGGAGTCTTGTCCCCGCTGTCCGGCTCCCATGTCCTAGGCTGTGCTGCTCCACACAGGCCGCGCCTGGGGGTGACTCTCCTCCGGGGGGTCTGCTGGTGAGGAGGGGGCCACAGGGGGAGGCAGGGCTGGGGCGACAGTGTGCGTGCCCACAGAGAGGGCTCTGAGTGCCGCCTCTGGCACGCATGCCATAGGTTCGCCACCACTGGTATAAGGTCTCCTGCTTGAGCAGGGGGCTGGACTAGAGGACCTCCAATGACCCTTCCAGCTCTATTCTGATAATTATTATTAGCTGATACGCGGAGGGAGTGGGGTCTGCGTGTGGATGACGGGTTCACTTACTGCTGCCCACCACCAGGCGTTGGGGATGCTGGTGAAGTTGGTGTTCGGCACATCGTGCTCAACGGAGTGCATGAGGGCGGAGAAGGTAAAGATGCCCATGGCGATGAAGAGCAGGAGGCAGCAGACCGGCTGGCAGCACTGCCGGAGGGTGAAGCCGAAGGCCCTCAGCCCCGTGGAGTGCCGGGCCAGCTTCAGGATACGGAAGATCCGCATCAGCTTGATCAGCTTGAGGACCTTGCCCAGCTTCCCCACGTTCCGCATCTTGTGCAGCTCCTCGTGGTCTTCGGAGTCGTTCTCGACCAGGCACTCGAAGACGATCTGGACGTAGAAGGGCAGGATGGACACCAGGTCGATGGCGCTGAAGGCCGCCCGGAAGAACTGCCGGAGGGTGGAGGTGGAGACCAGCCGCATGAGGTACTCCAGGGTGAAGAAGACGGCGCAGACGGTCTCCAAGTGCTCCATGCACTGCTTGCTGGTCTTGTCCTGCATTTCCTTCATGGTGCTGAGGGTCATCCCCACCACCGAGAACAGCACGAACAGGCTGGACAAGAGGGCCGTGATCTTAGCCAGGACCGAGGAGTACGGGTTCTCGATCAGTTTCCAGATGGCCTTCCGGAACTGGCCCATGAACTTGCCCTCAAAATGTTCTTCCTTCTCGACGGTCTCCAGTTCGGCCTCCAACTCTTGCTGGATCTTCAGATACTCCACTATCTCGTCATGCTTCTCCTCAAAGAGGATCCGGCAGCAGCGCTGGGTGTACTTCATGTGGACGCCCCAGTACTCGATCTCCTCCAGGAAGTTGGCCGAGCAGAACTCGGTCAGGACCCACATGACTCCGCTCCGGTAGAAGTGGGAGACGTAGTGGAAGACGAGAGGGTCTCGGTCGAAGAAGTACTCGTTCTTCGGCACCGAGTAGTCGTCGCACAGCTCCAGCTTCTTCACGGGATCCACGCAGGTGGCCAATTGCCCAATCCTGGTGAGGGGGTATTTGGCCGCCACTCGGACAGAGATGTGGAAGTGTTGGCCTCCAACGTTGAGGGTCAAGAAATTCGGATTCGACGGGTGGGAAAGGTCGTCGCTGTCCTGGGCCCAGTCGGCCAAATTGTCCATGGAGCTCCACGGCTTGACCAGCTTCTCCTGAGAGAAGGGAAGGAGGAGGTCCACATTGTTGGCAGTCCTGCAGCACTTCTGACAGGCCCTAAACTTCATGTTGGCTGAGAGGCTTGCCCGCCTTTGCACGGTGGGCCTCATGGTGGTGATTGAGGGGCCTTCACTGGCCACCATCCGCGGCCGATGCCTTTAGAGGAACTCGGATTCTGTCAATTGCCGAGTTGCTACTCTTAGCAGCTCTGAACTGCTCACTCGTGTATCACCAAACCAGCTGAGCCCCACAAAGCCGCTAGATCCCTGTTATGGGACTGGATGGAACTGGAAGCAGCTGCTTCTGAGCTTCTTACGGCATTAATCAGATTATGCTCTTAAAATGTCAACCTAAGAAGCTAATCTGGATGTTTGAGTTGGGCCGGTCTGATCTCACATTTTTCTTTTTTTAAGATGTCGTGTTTGAAGTGCTTCAAGACACAGGGGTGAGCAACCATGTCAACTTTATGACCTGTGGACTTCAACTCCCAGAATTCCTGAGCCAGCCAGGACCATGATTAGCCCTTCAGTGGGGGATAGCAGGATATCCCATGGCTACAGTCTATTGAACTGTCAAGAATGAAACTTTGGTAACGACATGTCTCGTTTCAACTTGCCATTACAATGAGAACAACGAAACCTCTCCGGTTCCGCTGAAGACTGTGAGAGCCTGAAACCTCTCCAAGGACACCACAGCAGGTGTGGAGAGGAAGCAGACGGTTCCCATAACAAAGTGAAATTGTTTACATGGACTAGGTGAGAGGTTGGGGTTTTGACCCGAGAAATGATGGTTTAATTCTATGAACTGGTGCCTGGGAAACTCAGACTTAGTTTTGCTTCGACACCACCATGCCGTGTATTTAATAAACAGTTGAGATTTTCGGAAACAGAATGGACGGAGTTTTATTTGGATTCTTGAGCTGGATGTTGACATGAACGTTCAAAGAAATCCCAGAAAACAGTGGTGTTTCTGGTTGGGGTGCTTCTCAAGGCCATTGTAAGGAGGGAAAGACGCCCCTGAAAGCTGCGAGTAACGATGAAGAGGAGGGGTCTGAAGAAAGGATGGGGTTGGGAGGCACTTTAATGAGTGGGGGAGATTCCAGGAGAACCCCCCCCCCCACCCGAGAGTTGGGAAATGATTTTTAATGTTCGCACTACGACAGGAGGTTGACCCCAGTGCTGCACAAGCAGAACCCCCAAGCTGAACGAGACTCGGAAAAAAAATTAGGGGTGCCTTTCCTAGCTCAAAATAGATCAAATTCTCACCTCCCACCCAATCTGAGTAAGTGACGATCCCGGTAATCAGGCGGTGTTCACTCCAGATGGCAACGCGACAGGAAAAACCAGGAGCAGCCAAAACCAACGTTTGTCCTATCAGGGGGTCCATCAGCCTTCCCAAACTTCTAGAAGTTGAGAAGAACAGAATAACAGGGCTGCAAGGGACCTTGGAGGTCCTCTAGTCCAACCCCCTGCTCAAGCAGGAAGCCCTAGACCAGTGGTTCTCAACCTTTTAATGCCGCGACCCCCAACCGGTCATAAGTCGAGGACTACTCAACCGGTCATAAGTCAAGGACTACTCAACTGGTGCCGCACCGTTTGCAGACTGGGACTTTTGGCGGGCTCAGCAGGGCAGAGACAGCCTGGACCATTCCTATTGGCTTTGGAAAGCCAATAGAATTAGATTCTATTCAAGAGAGTCTCTTCTATTGGCTTTCAAAAGCCAACAGAATAAAAGGGAGTAGCACAGCTAAGGAAAAGGGAGGAAAATGGCGGACTGCGTTATTTGGCGACCCCTGTGAAATGGTCATTCGACCCCAAATGGGGTCCCGACCCACAGGTGGAGAACCACTGCCCTAGACCAGTGGTTCTCAACCTTTCTAATGCCGTGACCCCATAATACAGTTCCCCATGTTGTGGTGACCCCCAAGTGGGTGTGGCCACCAATAAGAAGGAGTAGGACAGCTAGGGAAAAGGGAAAAAATGGCGGACAGCGTGGTTTGGCGACCCCCGTGAAATGGTCGTTCGACCCCAAATGGGGTCCCGACCCACAGGTGGAGAACCACTGCCCTAGACCATTCCAGACTGATGGCTGTCCAGTCTTAAAAACCTCCAGTGATGGACCACCCACAATTTCTGGAGAGCTCTTGTTCAACGCACCTGGAGGCACCGGACGAGGGAAGCAGCAACCCGCCCACCCTACCCCCAGCAGCACCATGAAAGGAAGGTGGGATCCAGCAGCTCGGGGTCGGATCTGAGGGATGCAAAGGCCATTGTGCTTGGAGAGGCTCCACAGAGCCTGGGCTGAAGGGCTTCTGCGGGAGAGGGCATCTGCAGAGCTGCTGCAGAAGAGAAGCCCAAGCCGGCCGCGAGAGACACCCGGATATAGTTTAAATATTAAACCTATTTTAATTTCCCCCCCTAGGAGGCAGACTTCTGTTGACGGCCTGCAGGCCGTGGGGCTTCCCAGCCTCCGTTCCTGCAAGGGGACCCAGCACGGACGCCGGCCTTTTCCATCCAAGGATTGCGCCTGAGGTTCCCGGGAGGAGCAGGTGACGGAGTCCCTTGCGTGAGGGAGCAAGGAGCGTCATCCTGGGAGAAAGGAAGGAGAGGAGAAGAGGCTTTAGACCAGTGGTTCTCAAACTTTTTAATGCCGCGACCCCCAACCGGTCGTAAGTCAAGGACTAAACTGGTCGTAAGCTGAAGACTAAACCGGTCGTAAGTCAAGGACTACCCAATTGGTCGTAAGTCGAGGACTTTCCCTGCCTGGGAGCACCGCACATGTGTGGTGCCGCCCCCTACGCCGGCCGAGGCGTAGCTGGCAAGCGGCAGAGACGGAGCAGGCCGACCACCGGCTGGACCGCCAGCTGGCCCAGCCCAAGGGAGGTAAGGCACCCGCTGGAAAAGGGGAAAAAATATGGCGGACAGCCTTGCTTGGCGACCCCCGTGTAATGGTCGATCGACCCCAAATGGGGTCACGAGCCACAGGTTGAAAACCGCTGCTTTAGACTCCTCAAAGGGCTTGCACTCTGGCCGAAAAGGATTATCAGGAGAAGAATGAAGAGAGCAGACGGGGGAGGCCTTTCCAAAAGGCCACTGGACTTTCTTTGTTTTTTTTCCCTTGAAGATGTTTCGCTTCTCATCCAAGAGGCTTCTTCCGTTCTGAAAGAATGCTGGAGGATGGGAGGATTTACGATTTTCTCCATCGTTCGGTCAGAACCGATGAAGCTTCTTGGACAAGAAGTGAAGCGTCTTCGAGGAAAAACAAAGGAAGCCCAGTGACCTCTTGAAAAAACACCTCTGGGACAATCGTGACCTGGGTGACTCAGAGCCTCCGTAGAACTGAAGAAGCTTCCTGGACGCGAAGCGAAATGTTTGACTTGGACGCTTGAGAATCTCCACGGACACCCCAAAAGGAGACTACGGAGAGAGGAAAACAGTATTATTTTTTGCCACCCTACAAAAGAGCGGAACTCAGCAAATCACCTGGGCCTTGCTTTCTGGAATGCCACCCTCAAAACAGCTGGGCCGATGTGGGGCAGGGCAGGACTGGAACATTGCCAGCTTCTCCCAATGCCCATCTCAAGAAAATGCTGTTCTTAACATTACTCTCCACGGGCAGCTCCTGCCTGTGAGATTACCAGGGGCGAGCTGAACAGACGTTCAACAACAGGGTCGCAGAGGAGAACATAAACAAAAGTTGTTCAACCCCAAAGCATCGCAAACCTTGCAATTTACACCTGGGGGGGGGGAGTGGAGGGAAAGTCCAGGAGAGATTTGGGTTCTCCGAGGGGTCCTTTTGTTGAAGCTGACCAGAGACATGTCTGTGGAGATTCTCCGTCATCCAGGTCACGGTCATCCCAAATGTGATTTTTTTATCCCGCAGGACACTGGACTTGTTTTTTTCTTTGAAGATGTTTCGCTTCTCCTCCAAGAAGCTTCTTCAGCTTCTGAATGGTGGGGAAAGGGAAGGATTTATACTCCTTGTAGATAGCTGGTCATTTGCCTTCTTTCAGAGAGCCGTTGAGGCCACTTGGAAGTTTGTTTGTGTCCTCAGTTTGTTGTGTCTAAAACAGTGGTTCTCAACCTTTTTAATGCCGCGATCCCCAACCGGTCGTAGGTCGAGGACTACTCAACCGGTCGTAAGTTGAGGACTTCTCAACGGGTGCAGCACTGTTTGCAGAATGGGACTTTTGGCGGGCTCAGCAGGGCAGAGACGGCCTGGACAATTCCTACTGGCTTTGGAAAGCCAATAGAATTAGACTCTATTCAAGAGAGTCTATTCTATTGGCTTTCAAAAGCCCATAGAATAAAAGGGAGTAGCACAGCTAAGGAAAAGGGGGAAAAAATGGCGGACTGCGTTGTTTGGCGACCCCCGTGAAATGGTCGTTCGACCCCAAATGGGGTCCCGACCCACAGGTTGAGAACCACTGGTCTAAAAGAACACAAATGACCAGCTGTCTGCAAGGAGTACAAATCCTTCTATTATTCTCCACCGTTTGGTCAGAGCTGAAGAAGCTTCTGGAATGAGAAACGAAACCTCCTCAAAGGAAAAACAAGGGTCCAATGGCCTCCTGAAAAAAAAGAAAAAGCCGCTTTGGGTCTCCCAGAAGCCCAGCTAAAGACATCAGATCAGACTCGGGGCTTACCTGGCCGGCAGGCCAGTCTCAAGGGTGCTCCACGAGGACTAGCTGCTTAAAGGCTGCTTTGGGGGAGAGGAGAGGCTTGCCTTTTCTGGAGGCCCACAGGGTGACCGCTGCCACCACCACCACGGTGATCAGGAGTGCTAGAAAAGAGCAGAGAGGAGAGAGACGGGTTAACCTCAGAAGCCGGCCTCGTTCCTGGAATAGCTGTGGGAGGGGAGATGCCGGCCAGCTCTGATAGTTTTCAGGAGAGACCCCCAAAAGACGGCTTTTTCATCTGGTATTCCAGCACTTAACCAAAAACCTTTTGCTGTCCTGTGTACGATGCTGTTATGGTTTCGGCTAATGAAACATTCCAAAGAACTTCCAGGCATTAATTTTCCTAAAAGCCTTTTATTGTTACAAAATGTCGGTACAGGCACAACGGAGGGATGCTAGGCTCTAAGTTCTCTTCCTCTGAGCAGTTCAATTATCAGCATGTTTCCTCCCTAAATTAGCCCTCATATCTCACACTATCCAATTAGTGTGAAGGTCAAAGGTTTCCTTCCTCTTTCTTTCCCGGGCTTTACCCCCACCCCCCTTCTGCTCTGTATTAACCCCAAAAATACCAGACAGTTCTGCATATTGTCAAAAGCAAGAATAGACAATATTTGCAGCGTTGACAGATGCCACGTTGGTGGAGATGGATCAGACCCCATGACAGGTGGCCGTTGACTTAGCAAAGTTGCCACGGCACTGAAATTAGGGACTTCTGACCGTTTTTCACGCTGACCGACCGTTGCACCGTCCCCGTGGTCACGTGATCAAAATCGGGACGCTTGGCCACTGGCTCGTATTTACAGGGTCCCGGGGTCCCCTTTGGCGAACTTCTGACAAGCCAAGTCAAGGGGGAAGTCCGGATCCACTTAACAACCCTGTTACCAATTTAGCAAACGCAGGGATTTGCTTAACAATCCTGGCAAGAACGGTCGTGAAATGGGGCAAAGCTCACCCCATAGTGGCCTTGCTGAGCAGTGGCAGTTCTGGGCTCCGTTGTGCCCGTTCAGCCCAGGACTTCCTTTACCCCTGGGTCGGCCTCCCCTCCTCCCCCAGGCTGCCAAGCGTCCCTGGGCAAGGGGCGCCACCCTCAGGTTCCGCCAAGCAAAGCGCCCTCCGCCCCCTCTCCCCCAAATCCCCAGGTCACCAGCCTGCTCTTCACGAGGCCAATTTCGGCATTGCAGATCAGGACAGCCGATTTTCCTGATTCCGCTTGGGGGAGATCAAGGTGGCTCTGCCAGTCTTACTCACCGACAATGGCAGTGATGGTCAAAGGGTCCAAGGCCAGGGCTTCTGGGGGTGTGCTGGTGCCTGTAAAAGAAAGGGGGGGGAGGAAAGCAGAGTTTAATACACATACGGGGGGGGGGAAATAAATTAAAATGGAATTTTATTCTGTAGGATGGGATTAAAGAGGAACTGTTGAAAAAGCTGAAGTGACTGGCAGAGAGATGCATTTAAGTAGGTTGGGGTTGGGTTCATGACTTTTGCTATTTCTTTCTTTTCTTTCTTTCCTTCCTCTCTTCCTTATCTCTCTCTCTCTCTCTATCTACTGGTCTCTCTATCTCTCATTTTTGTAGATTTTCACTGGTACAGGTATGCAGGTCTTGGTGTATTCGGGTCTTTTCCTGTGTAAGATTGAGAGTATCTTGGAAACGTCGCCAAGATACTCTCAATCTTAAACGAGAAAAGACCTGAATACGCCAAGACCTGCACACACATATATATATATATATGTTTTCTGAGGTTTTCGCGGGTATTTGTATATAGGTCTTTGGTTGTTCGGGTTTTCTCCCGCGTAAAATTGGAAGTGTCTTGGCGACGTTTCGACGAAGTCTCATTCGTCATCTTCAGGCTGGTGTTTTCGGCTTCGTGCTTCTAGGAGCAACTTCGTCGAAACGTCGCCAAGACACTTCCAATTTTAACAATTATATACATAATCTCCCGGTATCCATCGATCCAAAAGAGTGAGGCGTGGGGCAAAACCCAAGGGACCTCAAACGGGCTAACTCACAGAAGAAATAAATCAACACGAGGATCCCTGGGAGACACAAGCAGCTTTGCAAAGAATTTGGGAAAGAAAGACACGGCCGCAGCAGAGGGGGGCTTGAAACACGGAGAAACCAAGACATGATTTTAAAACTCAGAAAGCCTTTTGCAGAGAACTAAGGACTGGCGGATAAAAATAACGCAGGAAGCAAAACAAACCAGAGCATCAGGATGCAGAAGTATATAAATAAATATAAAACTACCAAAAAAAAAAAAAAAAAAAAAAAAACCCCAAACCTCAAGCTGGCTTAATTGAGGTATCTCAGAAAACAGACATCCTGAGAGGAACTCAGATTCTTTCAAGCAGTTATTTATGGCTTGGGAATATTTGGGGGAGGATGGCTGGCCCAAACCGGAATGATTACGCAACTTGGGAGGCAATAAATAGTCAGACTCTCCAAAGGAAAGACCGTCCCTCTGGATTCTTTGTCCCAGGCAGACAGGCCACAAACTGCTCCCCTAAAAGTTCCTGGTGTGCCCCACTGGTGGGTTGTGGGGGGGGGGACTGGCTACCCCAGATCTGGGGATGCAACTTTTAAATCAGGAGTGTCCAACCTTGGCTGCTTTAAGACCTGTGGACTTCAACTCGCAGAATTCCCCAGCCAGCTGATATTGGTTCTGATTGTGTCAAGGTATTTTTTTTTTAGCAAAGAGACCGGTCTGAGAAGGCAGCCAGTGTATTTTAAGCACCTCAGCGTAGGAGGAGAGCTGGGTTAAGTCTACGGTGGGAAAGCCCCCCAAAGTGATTTAATGGCAACTTTCCCAACATTTATGGAAAGGCAGAACTTCCTGGAGCTTCAGCTCTTTTTTTAAAAATAGTAGTAGTAGTAAAGTTGGAAGGGACCTTGGAGGTCATCTAGTCCAACCCCCTGCTCAGGCAGGAAACCCCTACAAATTCATACTATAAAAAGAGTATGAATCAGAAAAGGTGCGACTGGGCTTCTCCTGATTTCATTTGTTTACTTATGAAATTTATTTCTGCCCATCTTGTATCGAAACGATTTTTAAACATCTCGAGTGTGTGTGTGTGTGTGTGTGTGTGTGTGTGTGTGTGTGTCATGGTTTGGCTAAAAGCAGCATTCAGGAATGCTTTGAGGAGGGCATGTTCATATCCAAACATGTGAGAAACAGGACAGCCCAAAACAAAACACGTTTGCCTATTTGCACACGCATGGGATAAAAGATAAGACGTGGATTAAGAGTTCAAGGCATTAAGAGGGGAGAAATAAACTTCCCAGTTAATTAGAAGCCACAGAGGACAACAGAAATCAGCCCAAGAAAAGGGGGGGATGGGGGGGGGAGAGGTGGAGCTCCAGAACCAGAACGTAAGGGGAGTGGGTTGCAGTGATTGACACCTCTGCGGTGATTGACACTTTTGGTTCAGAGTGGCCAACTCCAGCCGTGGTGGAGCCCAGGCAGAAAAACTCCTTTGCAGAATCTGAAAATTCAGGACCGCCCACAGCAAAACGCAGCAAGCTTTAGGTTTGAGCGACAGAATTTAATTCGCCCCCCCACCCCCCATTTGCAAAATCATCACCTAATACAAAAATTACAGGTTTACAGAATGGAAGAACTGATTCCGAATCAGCATCGAACACGAGAATGGAGAGGACCCAGCTGTCCAAATGCTCCGTTTTCATTTATTTCAGCAATACAACTGGAGGCAGGGTGGGCACGCATACTTTTCTTGTGCTGCTGTTTTTTTTTTTTTAAAAAAAGGGATTTTTTTTTTGCAGACTCCCCCACCATACCTTGAAATCTCAGAATTAGCAGAAGATCTGCTTTCTGCCGATCTTGGCATCACCTGGTTGGCACCCCAGAGTCTTGTCCAGGAAATGCCGGAGACGGCACCGTGCCCTTTTACGTGCCAGGGACACGGCTCTGCCCATCTCTAAGCTGAGGAAACCAGGGTGGAGGGTGGGACTCTCACAGGACCTTCTCAACTTCCTTAATCTCTCCCAAGGACACACAGGATAAAAAACATATGCAGGAGCAACAGGGACCGCAGCAGAAGAGACCCTTCCTGCTCCCTTCTTTCGGGTGAAAAATAATGCAGAAAGAGGGAGGGGGAAAAAAAAGGAGTGAAACTTATTCCTACAGTAGGAGACGCAGCCAAGCCCCCACTTGTTCCCAGGCAGGTATACGAGGTATATTTCTAATCTGGAGACTACTTTGGCCAGCTTGACCGGGAGTTATAAGCAGCAAATAATCACAAGCGGCGTACAGAGAAATACAAAATACAACTGAACAGCAAGCAAAGTGCAGCTTTAGCAAAGCAGACGTCACGAGGTCCAAGATGGCTCTTTCCGGACTCCCTAAAAAACGAGGTTGCAATTCAAAGAGAGGCCAGCCAGCAGGAGTGCCGTTTGGCACCCCAAAATCGGACCGCAGCTCAGCCCACCTGTGGGGGTTATCTGTGGGGCCTCTGGCAGCAAATCCGCACCGCAGCCTTCTTCGTCGCCTCCGTCTTCACAGTCTGGATGGCCGTCGCACTTGAAAGACAGGGGGTAGCACTCGGCCCCTGGGTAGCATCGGAACTCGTCGCTTTCGCAGTCATCCTCCTTGAGAGGGCCCAGCGAGGATGCGCAAAGAGACTCGGCCTCATCCGAACCGTCTGGGCAATCCGGGCGCTTGTCGCAAAACCGCTCAAAGGGCAGGCAGGGCCCGCTGCTGTGGCCGCACCGACAGGTGTGATTCCTGCAGATGCTTCCCAGCTGCTGACAACCGTCTGTGTCGTCTTGGCAGCTGATCTGCCTCTCCTGGCCCAGGCACAGCGGCACACGGCCCCCCTTGTGGCACTGGAAGCTCTCAACAGGGCAGGAGGAGGACCCTGCAGGCAGAAAGGAAGAGAGAGAGAAAGAAAGAAAAAGAGAGAAAGAAAGAGAAAAAGAGAAAGAGAGAAAGAAAGAGAAAAAGAGAAAGAGAGAAAGAAAGAGAGAGAGAGAGAGAGAGAGAGAGAGAACGGTGAGTGGAGGGAGCCAATGAGATGTTGAAAGAGAGAGAGAAGCATCGAAAGAATGAAAGTGCAAAAAAAAAAAAAAAAAAAGAAATGGAGAGATACAGTGAATTCAATTACACTGTCAACTTTTTAAAAATCCCCAAACACACCATCGGTTCCTTAAGAGAAGCACCTCCTGAGACTCTGACCTTGGATCCTTACCGGGAAATAATCATTAACTAACCACTATTTATTTTTAGGGGTGAAATAAAACAATTCTGATTTGAGGACCAATCCAAACTGCAGTCAGAGTGTGTTTGTGTAAGCCTACCAGAGGTCGTAAGGCTGTATTGATTTAAAGGATTTATATGGTTGCTTTCTCCCATGGTGATCTTCCGTAAGTCACAAGCACAGCTAAAAACAGAACAAGTCTTCCATTATTCTAATATGGATTTTCCCCAAAAGTAAGTCCTAAGCTGGATCCTGGATCCCCAGAAAGATCAGTGGCACACCGGATTTAAACACGATGGAGAAAAATCTGCAAAACGGTACTTCTGAAATTATTTTCATCCTATTTAGGACTCACATTCGCCTTTTTCTTCCAGATGGAGTTTGCTTTTCTCCACTGAAGCAGGGTGCCAGAGTCTTTTAATTTTCAAAAAATTATGATAATTTTGCAAAGCCGAATCAAGCACACAGTGACACCCAAAGGGAAAAGCCCCAAGACAGAGAAAAGAGAGTGTGCTTATAATTGAGCACAAGGTACCACGGAGTCATATGAAGCAAATGGGTTCCCAAATTGATTACAGTATATAAGTGGAAAAAAGGTTTTTATTTTAATCTCTGGGCTGCTAAATATCAACTCACCATTTCAGAACAAGGAGAGCTAGCTGACTAACTTACTCTTAAAGCCTAAGCAACAAAGCAGAGCAGAAACTATGCCAAAGGGTTTCACTTGCGTGAAGGACAGGATGAGAATGGATGTTTTTGAAGTTTGGTGTTGCAGAACACTCCTGAGAATACAGCGCAGAGTTAAGAAAGGAACTCGATCAAACAAATCAATCCAGAGTTCTCTGGAAGGATGTTGTGAACTGTCCTGAGAAGTCCCTAATGCTGGGAAAGGAGGAAGGAAAGATAAGGACAATCAGCAGCAAGGTGAAGAGACTCAGCTACGTGGATGATGGGGGCACCTTTGAAAGACCTGCAGGACCAGAAGCTTAAGGGGAGATCTTCCTGGAGAAAAGCTATCTATGTGGTCGTGAAGAACTGACACTGGCTTGACATCCATCCATCCATCCATCCATCCATCCATCCATCCATCCATCCATCCATCCATCTCTAGCTGGGCAAGTCATATAATTCCTACAGATGCTGGGAAAGGTGGAAGGGAAGGGGAGGACTAGCATTGATTAAGAGAGTTGCAGGTCTGATAGGGACAATCTTGGAAGACCTGAAGCTTAGGGGGACATCTTCTTGGAGAAAAGATATCTATCTGGTTGCAAAGAATTGACACTGACTTGACGGCACACCATCCATCCATCGATCTGTCTGTCCATCCATCTATATCAGTGTTTCCCAAACTTGACCATTTTAAGGCATGTGGACTTCAACTCCCAGAATTCCACAGCCAGCATTGCTGGCTGTGGAATTCTGGGAGTTGAAGTCCACATGCCTTAAAATGGTCAAGTTTGGGAAACACTGATCTATATCCATCCATCCATCTCCATCCATCTGTCTGTCCATCCATCCATCCATATCCATCCATCCATCCCTCCATCTGTCCATCCATATCCATCCATCCATCCCTATCTGGGCAACTCATACAATTCCTAGAGAAACCCATCATGCTGGGGAAGAGTATGACGACCAGAGGAAGGTGGATGGACTCAGTTAGAGGGGCAATGGGGGCCTCACAGAGAAAACCTCTCTCATTGACCCTAACTTGAGGACCCTCAATCAATCAATGCTTGCAAAAGTGTCCCTGCTCCATTTTAATCTCTAACTAGGTTCAGGTGCTAATTAAAGAACCAATTATTGGGGGGAGAGGGTTCATTGCCCCCCCCCAGACCTTTTGGGCAGGGAGAGGCCCACCTGTGCTGGGTCTAAGCAACAGCCCCTTCCTCAAAAGAACCGGGGTTGGGAGGGGCAGCTTGCTTAGGCAGAGCCAAGCCAAGGCCCAAAGGAGACCCCCCCCCATGGAGGGACCCAGAGCCCACCCTCAGCTATAGAAGGAAACGCAAAGGGTCCAAGGGGGGGAGAGGGAATCATTGTACCCCCCCCATGGGGAAGGCTGGATTACTGCTCCCATCAGCCCCGCCCAGGCTTCTGGGTCTGGGAGTCCAACCGTCTGCAGCAGGGCACCGAAACAGACCAAGGAACAGAGCGTGGTGGGGGGGGCAAAGCATGAGGAAAGGGCATAACGAGAGCCAGGGGCCCGGAGCAAGACGGGCAAACGGGACACAAATGCACCTGCAAAGAGAAATCTGGGTGATGGTGGTGGGGTAATCCTACCGCCCCCCCCCGTTGCGTTTGACTCCGAAAGATTTCGGGGGTCTTAACTCGAGAAAGGCTCGCCTTCCCCCTGGGTCAGGTAGGCCCGGTCGCCGTGGCAACCGGGCCACGGCCTCACCTCTGACCTTGGAAGAGGGCGGGGGGGCGAGCGAGGGGGGCATCGGCGCACGTGCTGCTCGGCGCGGGGCGGGGAAAACCAGCCAGCTCGGAGGTGTGGCGGGGCGTGAGGGCAGGACAGCCAATGGCCGTCTGCGGGGCGGGGCTTGGGGATGGCGCTCGACCAATCGGCGCCCGCGGGGCGTGCTTAGGGGGGCATGAATGAGCTGCCATACGGGGACGGGCCTCTCCTGCTCTCACCCGCCCTTCCTCCCTCCCTCTCAGCCTCCGCCGCGGCCCGCTCACCGGCCTCCCAACGCAGCAGCCAGAGGAGGAGGAGAAGGAGAAGGCGCGTCATGGCTCCGCGGCCGCCGCCCGCACGACTGAACGCCGGGCTCGCATGAAACCCGCCGAAGAAGAAGCGCGCCTGCGCAAAAGAAAATGCGCTTGGGGAAAAACCACGCCTCCGAGTCGCGCATGCGCGGAATAGAACGCGAGGCTTGGCCGGAGGGGAACGAAGCGGGCAGGCGGCCAAAGGCGCATGCGCAGTCTCCCAAAGTTGATCCGAAGCACGTGTTTGCAGATGCTTTGCGAGGCTGGCTGGAAACGGGGGGGGGGGGGAGATCCAGCTGCTGCCCCCACGCCTCGGCTCCGGCGATTTCCCCCCCCCCGCCCCCACCCTTGAGCCCGGTCGGTGCTCGCGGCTCTCAGCCCGGTTGCATTTGCACGCCCTTCCCGCCCCCTTCCCAGGGGTGCATTAGGAGGGTTTGGGGGTCAGCATCACCTGATTGCCCCCCCAGGAGAACCCCCGCCCCTGCCAGGAGGCGGCGGTGGGGAGGTAAGGCAGGGTCTGCCCTCCTGCGCTCCCCCAGGATGAGCCTAGAGCAGTGGTTCTCAACCTTGACAATTTTAAGGCATGTGGACTTCAACTCCCAGAATTCCACAGCCAGCATTGCTGGCTGTGGAATTCTGGGAGTTGAAGTCCACATGCCTTAAAATTGTCAAGGTTGAGAAACACTGGCCTAGAGAAAAGGACTTGGAGGACAGGATAGCAGTCTTCCAGTATTTGTGGGGTTACCATAAATAAGGGGAGGGGGTGTCAATTTGAAAGGAGTAGATTATTAATCAGAAATTTCTAATCTAATGAATCTAAAGGTTGATAGAAGCAGCCACTGGAAAGTCATAAACTGTGACAGGTAAATGTCATACAAATAAGAAAAGCAGAAGTCGCTAGCTAATTGAAATTGCAAGCCGAGGAAATATCGAAATAACTATAGGAGCCGAGCTGCGCTAACAGAAAATTAGATGGTGATAGATAGGATGTGCACAAAGGGGCTTCCTGGAACATGGGAAGGATGGTGGTTTTAGGTGGTCCGGATAGTTTAACAGATGATTAGGGAAGGGGCGTTGAATGCAATAGGGGAGAGGGGAATCTGCGTAGGGGAAAGGATATACAAATGTGTCAAACAGCTCTTTAAGGTGTGGCTGAATTCCTGTGTTTCAGTCCACCAAGCCTTTGCAAACGCTTTATTTTGAATAAAACTTTGTTGCTGGAATTCCAAGTAAGTTTGTTTGTTTTGGGATCTTGAGCCATGTTCCAAACAAATCCAGTCTCCAAAGCCCCTGAAGGCAGGAGAAGAAGCAACGGGTGGAAACTCATCAAGGAGAGAAGCAACCTGGAACTAAGGAGAAACTTCCTGGCAGTGAGAACAATTAACCAGCGGAACAACCTGCCTCCAGAAAGTATGAATGCTCCAACACTGGAGGTTTTTAAGAAGAGACTGGGCAGCCATTTGTCTGAAATGGTATAGGGTTTCCTGCCGGAGCAGGGGGTTGGACTAGATGACCTCCAAGGTCCCTTCCAGCTCTATTCTGATTGACGCTCCAACCATTCCAAGCAGCCTGCCAGTTACTCCCCCCCCCAAGCCCATCCTCCATCTCTGTGCCCTCTGACCATTATGAGGAGGGGGTCCAGCCTGGGCAGCCCCCTGCCAAGGAGACCTTCGGAGGCTCAGCCTTTTTCCATGCTTGGCCACTCTGGCGTTCCCATCCCTGCTGGTATCATCCGCTGCTCGAGGACTTGCTGAGGTTGGGTGGGGAACAGCAAAAAAAGAACAAAAAAAGCCCCCTGTTCAGGAGCAGTCTACCAACAAAGACTTATGACCCTTTTCCAAGCAGCCCAAGACAAGCTTTTGCCAGCCACGGCTGCCAGCACTTCTGGAGCTTGTTCTGCCAGAAAAGCTGCTACCAGATGCGTCCTGATGTTTGGCTATATTAGCAGTGTGTGTGTGTGTGTGTGTGTGTGTGTTCATACGTGCGTCTTATGATCTTTCGAGAAGTTTCTAGCCAGTCTGCAGGAAAGTAAACACACAGCTGGATGGAGGTTTAACCTGATGTTTCCACTTTTTCACACTGAGCATCAATTCTGGGTGTCAGTAATTGGGGCTGCTTGCTTTTGTTAATACCAGCCCTGCATCCGATTGGTCGAAAGCCGCTCTCAGACCCTCCCCCTGGATATTTGGGGACATCAGCTGAATGCTTTGAGAAAGACATTTTGGGAGAATGTGTTTGTATGTGTGCATATGTGCATATACACGTATACATACACACATATATGGTATGTATCTCCATACTTTGACTTTTATCTGTAAATTTGTAACTCGTTTCAATTCTGTATGTATGTATAATAAATACACAAAATGCATGCATAAATAAATAAACGCTTGTGGTCAATCTGCCATTTCTTAATGATGAACCAGTGGAACAACTTGCCACCAGAAACTCTGGGTGCTCCAACACTGGAGGAGGTTTTCAAGAAGAGACTGGACAACCGTTTGTCCGGTATGGTATAGGGCAGGGGTAGGCCACCTTGGCTCTTTTATGACTCGTGGACTTCAACTCCCAGAATTCCTCAGCCAGCGTGGCTCAGCTTGGAAACCTCTCCCTTTCCCCTCAGCATGGCTGGCTCAGGAATTCTGGGAGTTGAGGTCCACGAGTCATAAAAGAGTCAAGATTGCCTACCCCTGGTATAGGGTCTCCTGCTTGAGCAGGGGGTTGGACTAAATGACCTCCAAGGTCCCTTCTAGCTCTGCTAGTCGGCTGAATGTCGTCTACCACCCAGAGTCTCCTGAAAAGGGGGCAGGGTAGCATTTTAATAAATCAATAAATTCACTCTTAACCCGTGTTTTGTGCCTTCGTTTATTCTGGCTGTATCATCTGAGGTTAACAATTCCAACATCGATTCCTCAAATTCTCTTTTGCCAGCCCGACCAGCCCCTAAAGTCATGTAGAACTTTTAGTTACGTTATCGATTGATTACCTTTATTGAATTAGCCCAGATCAGAGAAGAAAAACAAAGTCTTTGCAGGGTGCGTCTCCATGCTGATGCTGCTGCTTGCCCCAAAGGGAAAGGCCCAGACCCACAGCCCGGCCTTTGAGCCTGGGGGCCGATTTCACAAATAGGGCTCATCCTTGGACAGCTCCCACTTCCGAGGCGGGAAGCCCGGGGTCACAGGCAGCTTCTCCCTCTTCGTGACGGAAGAGTCCGAGCTGTGGGTCAGAAATGGAACAGCTGCACGTTAGAGGCCATGTGAGCACTTTCCCCATGCTGGATACCTCTGGAGGCCGTAAACTGGGATTAAAAAGAGTCGGTTTGGTCTAGTGCTTAAGGAGACGGTGAGTTCCAATCCTGCCTTAGGAATGAAAAAGCAGCTGGGTGGCTTTGGGCCAATCGCCAGGAGACGGTGAGTTTTAGTCCCGCCTTAGGCCTGAAAACTGACTGGGTGGCTTGGCCAATCGCCAGGAGACGGTGAGTTCTAGTCCCGCCTTAGGCCTGAAAACTGACTGGGTGGCTTGGCCAATCGCCAGGAGACGGTGAGTTCTAGTCCCGCCTTAGGCCTGAAAACTGACTGGGTGGCTTGGCCAATTGCCAGGAGACGGTGAGTTCTAGTCCCGCCTTAGGCCTGAAAATTGACTGGGTAGCTTGGCCAATTGCCAGGAGACGGTGAGTTCTAGTCCCGCCTTAGGCCTGAAAAGTGACTGGGTGGCTTGGCCAATTGCCAGGAGATGGTAAGTTCTAGTCCCGCCTTAGGCCTGAAAAGTGACTGGGTGGCTTGGCCAATTGCCAGGAGACAGTGAGTTCTAGTCCCACTTTATGCATGAGAACCAGCTGGGTGACTTTAGGCCAATCACCAGGAGACCGTGAGTTCTAGTCCCATCTTGGACATGAAAAGCTGACCACCAACCATCTCCTTGTAAGGGGGAGGTGGGTGGCATAGAAATTTAATAAAAGCAAACTGGGTGACCTTAGACCAGTCCCTCCTCTGCCCAACCCACCTCACAAGGTTGTTGTGGGAAAAATGGGAGAAGGAAGGAATGTCAGGTGAGTTTGTCACCTGGAGTTATTTATACAAGAGAAGAAAAGAAGAAACGGGTGACATGATAGCAGCGTTCCAGTATCTGAGGGGCTGCCACAAAGAGGAGGGGCTCGAAGCACCAGAGGGAAGGAGGAGAAACAATGGTTGGGAACTCATCAGTGAGAGAAGCAGCCTGGAATTCAGGAGAAACTTCCTGACAGTGAGGACAATTAACCAGTGGAACAGCTTGCCACCAGAAGTTGTGGGCGCTCCATCACTGGAGGTTTTTAAGAAGGGGCTGGACAGCTACTTGTCTGAGATGGGGTCTCCTGTTTGAACAAGGGGGCTGGACTAGAAGACCTCCAAGGTCCCATTCTATTCTATTCTATTCTATTCTATTCTATTCTATTCTATTCTATTCTATTTTATTCTATTCTATTTCTATTTCTATTTCTATTTCTAATTCTAATTCTAAGAGCTGAGGTGGCGCAGCAGTTAGGGTGCAGTACTGCAGGCCACTTTAGCTGACTGTGTTCAGCAGGTCAGCGGTTCAAATCTCACCGGCTCAAGGTTGACTCAGCCTTCCATCCTTCCGGGGTAGGTCAAATGAGGACCCAGATTGTGGGGGGCAATGTAAATATATATATATATATATATATATATATATATATATATATATATATATACATTGCTTACTGGTGTACACCGCTTAGAGAGTGCTTGCACTTAAAGCGGTATATAAGTCTCATAAATAAATAAATAAATAAATAAATAATTCTAATTCCATTCCATTCCATATATTCTATTCTATTCTAATTCCATTCCATATATTCTATTCTATTCTATTCTAATTCTAATTCCATTCCATATATTCTATTCTATTCTATTCTATTCTATTCTATTCTATTCTATTCTATTCTATTCTATTCTATTCTATTCTATTCTATTCTATTCTAATTCTAATTCTAATTCCATTCCATATATTCTATTCTATTCTATTCTATTCTATTCTATTCTATTCTATTCTATTCTATTCTATTCTATTCTATTCTATTCTATTCTATTCTATTCTTCTATTCGCAGCATATGAAATAAAAGCATAACCCAGGTTGCCAGCTTAAGAAGGGGCTTCCTGTTCACACCTCTCTCAGGTGCTCAGCAGGGCCAGTAAACAACAGGGAAGGTGTGTTGCAGACCCCGTCAGTTAAAGAACTCTGACTGGTGGGGCCCCAGAAGAGACCTTTCTCTGTCGTTGCCCTTGGGAATATTCTCCTTCGCACCCCCCTGAGGTGAAGCTGCCCCCCCCACTGTCCTGGCCTCCCGTAAAGGCGTAAAAACACGGCTTGGTGGTTTCCTTTGGGTGCACAGGGGCCGGTTAGTACCCTGGAAGCCTCCCTTCCCCTTTCCACCAATTCTTAACTGTGTTCTTAATCATCCTCACCTTTTCTTAAATTTTAACTTCTACAGCACTTTGTTTTGTTTTTAATTATTTTATGGTGCGCCAGAAGGGAGAAGGGCGGTTCCAAACCGTGATAAATGAAATCAAGAAACCTGGCTGGGAGGAAAGGAAGCCAATTCAAGTCCTCGGGAGAAGAGTAAATTTCACAGCCTCTGGGGAACCAAGCCCAACTTGAAGGCTGGCTTAATGCCCGAGTTTGTAGGGGAAATCAGAGGGAAAAAAAAAGACTTTAAACAGCTAAAATAACCTAAAACAGCCAAGAGCTTTGGCAGTTCAGCCAGCTGGGTCATTGTTCAGAAGCCGGAAACGGCGACGGCAAACAAAGACCTGTTTAGCTTCGGCTCCACCTGACGCTTTCCGGAAGGAAGGCTCCTTTGCAAAGGAGGCTCAGCTCTTAGGACCGTCCCGGGTCTCAGCAGGTATCACCAAGCGGGTCGGAGGGGGGCGCCTACCTTCCAGCTTCCTCTCCGGGGGCCAACTTCTTCTGAGCTGACATGAGGACAATGGGCGGAAACGCCTGCCTGCGCCCGTCTCGCGTGCAGTAGTAGTTGTCTGCTAGCTTGTGGCTGGGCCCCAGCGGGAGGCGGGGGGGCGGCTGGGTCCTGCAAAGCGGGGAGGCGGAAGGACACGATCAGAGCAGGAAAAGCCAAAATAAGAGACACTTGAAGCAACGTCCTGGCTTGACCGAGGCTGGAAGCCACAGGCCATGTTATCCCTTCCAAGGGTGGGCCAGGTCCTTATTCCGTTTCCAGGGGTCACAAAAGGGACCCCCCCCAAGGTGGGGGCCCAGGAGGGGTCTTGGACGGACTCAGATCCTGCACCCACTGGGCATTTACTGGTAATAATGATAATAATAATAGTAATAATAATAGTAATATTCATAATATATAATAGTAATGATAATAATAGTAATAATAATAATATGATGATTATAATAGTAATAGCAATGATAATAACAATAGTAATAGTAATATTAGTAATAATAATAATAATAATACAATTGTCGATAGGAAAGACAAAAAAGTCTGGATAGTGGACGTGGCAGTGCCTGGAGACAGCAGAATAGACGAGAAAGAACTGGAGAAGATAACAAAATACAAAGACCTACAAATAGAAATAGAAAGACTGTGGCAAAAGCAAGCAAGGGTAGTACCAATAGTCATAGGCTCCTTGGGTGCAATCCCAAAACAACTGGAGCACCACTTGAACACCATTGGCATTGACAAATTCGCTATTAGTCAATTGCAAAAGGCGGCCTTACTAGGAACTGCTTCCATCCTGCGACGATATCTGTAATACCATCAAACATCCACATCTGCCTATCCCAGGTCCTGGGTAAGGACTCGATAGGTAGACAAAATGCCAAATCCAGTCTGAACATCTGGCTACTGTGCGATGATCGATAATAATAATAATAATATTAGGAACTGCTTCCATCCTGCGACGATACCTGTAAATACATCAAACATCCACATCTGCCTATCCCAGGTCCTGGGTAAGGACTCGATAGTAGAACAAAATGCCAAATCAGTCTGAACATTGGCTAACTGGCGGATGAATCCATAATAATAAAATAATAAATAAGAATAATAAGAATAATATTAGGAAATGCTTCTCCTGCGACGATACCTGTAATACCATCAAACATCCACATCTGCCTATCCAGGTCTGGGAAGGACTCGTAGGTAGACAAAATGCCAAATCCAGTCTGAAACATCTGGCCTGACTGTGCGATGAGCCAATATAATAAAATAAGTATAATAATAATAATCATAATAATAATAATAAATAAATAAAAATAATAAAACCTGGCAATGGCTAAGAGCAGGAAAATTGAAGAAAGAGAACGAGGGACTAATTCTGGCTGCACAAGACCAAGCCTTAAGGACAAATGCATATAAAGTCAAAATTGAGAAGACAGCAACAGACAGTAAGTGCCGCCTATGCAAAGAAGCTGAAGAAGCAGTGGACCACTTGGTAAGCTGTTGCAAGAAGATTGCACAGACTGAGTACAAGCAGCGGCATGACAAAATAGCAACAATGGGTGCATTGGAAGATCTGCCAAAAATATCATTTGCCTGTA